TATCTATCTATCTATCTATCTATCTATCTATCTATCTATCTATCTATCTATCTATCTATCTATCTATCCATCCATCCATCCATCCATCCATCCATCTTTGGCTCAGCCTTCCCTCCTTTTCCCAGGTCATTCAAATGAGGACCCGGGATTGTTGGGGGGGGCAAGAGGCTGACTCTGTAAAAACCGCTTAGAGAGGGCTGTAAAGCGGTATATAAGACTGAGGGCTATGGCTATTTCCCAGGCGCTCAGCATTTGCATTTGGACCCTAGCTGCGGTTTTGCAAACGCAACGAACAGGAAAGCAAAGCACGCACTTTACCTGGAGCTGCCCTTCAACCACGCACACACCTGTACACACCCACACACTTTTGAGTTTAGCCCATTTTTTTTTTTTTGCAACGGCGAGAGGGGAAGCCAAACCCCCCCCTTCCCTCAATGCAAACGCCCTGCCTCGCTTACCGACGGCCAGGCAGGTGGCGGAGAAGCCGTAGCGCCACTTGGCGGAGCCCGAGGTCAGGTTGAAGAGGTTGCCCAGCCAGGGCCGGCTCGGGGGTCGCTCCTCCGAGCCCGCTTTCTCCGGGTCGGGCGGCGTTTCCCGCAGGGTGGTCAAGGCCAAGTCCGCCAGGTAGAGCCAGAAGGCCAACTGGCTCACGCAGAAGAGGCCCACGTTGCGGAAGAAGCGCGGTCGCTCGTGGTGGAAGAGCTCCACGTCCCGGTTGACGAAGCCGTCCAGCGGGAAGGGCTCCTCAGCTCGCCGGCCGGCCGGCGGGCTCCAGAGTTGGCGTCTTGCAAACGGAGGGGCCGCCGCGCCGAGCCGGGCGCTTCGCAAGCCCCCACGCAGGAGGGAGAGACCCCCGCGGGCCCACGGGGAAGCCCACGCGCCACGAGCCCGCGGCAGCAGCAGCAGCATCGCGGAGCCGCCGGATCAGGGGAGCTGCATGGCCGGGAGAGGAAAGAAGGGAGAGGAAAAAGAGGAAAGGAAAGGAAAGGGGAAGGGAAGGGAGGTTAAAAGATGGAGAGGAGGAAGAGAAAAGGGAAGGAGGAAAGAAGAAAGAAGGAAAGAAAAGTAAAATATGGAGGAGAGGAAGGTAATAGAAGGAAAGGGAGGAAGCAAAGAGAAGATAAAAGGAGGAAGGAAGGAAGGAAGAAGGAAAGAAAAGTAAAATATGGAGGAAAGGAAGGTAATAGAAGGAAAGGGAGGAAGCAAAAAGAAGATAAAAGGAGGAAAGGAAGATAGAAGGAGGAAAGAAGGAAAGGAAAGTAAAATATGGAGGAAAGGAAGGTAATCGAAGGAAAGAGAGGAAGCAAAGAAAAGGAAGGAAGAAAGAAGGAAAGAAAAGTAAAATATGGAGGAGAGGAAGGTAATAGAAGGAAAGGGAGGAAGCAAAAAGAAGATAAAAGGAGAAAAGGAAGATAAAAGGAGGAAAGAAAAGTAAAATATGGAGGAAAGGAAGGTAATAGAAGGAAAGGGAGGAAGCAAAGAAAAGGAAGGTAAAAGGAGAGGGAAGGAGGAAAGGAAAGGAGAAGCTACGAAGGAGGGAAGGAAAGAAAAGAAATGAGATAAGAAGGGAGCGCGTTTGTTCTGGCGGGCGCGCAAGGTCGTGGGAAGGGGGAGGAGGAAGGTAAAGAGAGTTTCGGTTTTTCTTTCTTAGCCGGCCGGATGAGTCGTTTGCACCCCTAGATGCGTGTCCCGGGGCTCTCCTGCCTGCACGCCAGGATGCAAGATTCAGAAGCGTGTTGGGGGGTGGGGAAGCGAATCCCACCCCAATTCAAACGGGGTGTAACTAATACCGGTTACTCGCTGGTGGTTTCCCTCCTTTGCAATTCCAGAGCTGGAGACTTCCACTCCCGGCATGCTCAGGGCCCATCCCTACGGTGGAACTCTGGGAGTTGGAGTCCACACGTGCAAACCCGGAAGTTGCCCAGGTTCTGGAACCATGGATTACATTTAAGGGGAATTGCTGGTTTGGGCTCCAGGGAGTAAATGGGTGGGAGTAAGGTGCAAATCTCTCGATTTTTATTTTATTTTAAAGATTTTGGACCTGGTTTTATTTTAGATCTGATCTAAGTTTTAGGGTGTCCCCACGTGGCAGGCGTAAACCTGAATTGTGCTTTGCTAAGTCATAGTTTATTCATGTTGTATTAATCAAGTTTGGCTGGATTGAGCCATAACTGGAATAAATAATTGACCCAACATTTTTTGCATTAAATTAACCAGTTTCATTTGCAGTTTATATGATGGATGAAAAATGAGCCATTTTGGAAAACGATGGGGCTTCGGGGTTAAACTGCAACCACACAAACAAATCCACAGAGAATCTTGTGATTTATCACTTTAGCATCTTATGATTTATGGTTGCGTCTAATGATTCATAACTTACCATTTTGTTGTTTGTAGACAAATTCCTTGCGTGTCCAATCACACTTGGCCAATTAAACGTATTATCTGGTTAGGTTTAACACTTTGCGCGGCAAGCAAATTTTTACAAAATCAATGGACGGACAAAATCCTGAACTTTTCCAGCTTTTCTTTTTTCTATGCACTGCAATATGCATCCCCCAGACGTATGTTATTTTGTTCCCAGTTATTCCTGCTTGTTGGAACAAAAACCACCCAGAGCAGGGTAGCTTTTAAATTTAAAAAAATAAGGAATCTTTGCCAAGAGACGTCCTGCTTGAGGGAAAAATCAAAGCTATTTACAACGTTTTATCGATGTCTTTATTGAGAAATTCTTTTTTTTTTTTTTTTTTTT